GGATCATGGACCTAGGACTAAAACCAAGGACTGTAAACTTCATTCAAGAAAAGCTTGGAAAAACTTTAGTAGTCCTAATCCACAACATAAAGAGTCTTCCCAGTATTCTGAAAAATTTACAACCAGGAGAAGATAAAAGAGTCTTCCCAGTATTCTGAAAAATTTACAACCAGGAGGAGATGGCTTTAAAGAAAATGTACAGAGTGGCCCTGTAGGTTAAGTTTTAATTGTGATATGCCTATATGTAAGTATACTGATTTCCCATTTACAGGCTAACCTTTAACACGTTTGTGTTTCTCCATTTCCTTAGACTTTCTTCCCAGAGCAGATGGTTACTTGGTGTCAGCAGTCCAATGGCAGTGTTCCCCAAAGCCAGCTTTTACAGGTACTGGGCAAAAATGGACCTCTATATAGTCAATGCTGTTGGTTTTACCTCTTGGAGTGGTTTAAATAACCGAAAATAAATGTTTAATTGGGAAATGTGCATGTAGACAGGATCTTTCAAACTGAAACACACCCTTGTAAACAGGATATACTTATAAGAAACTCAAGTAGTACAGTTCTAAAGCATAGGCAGACCAGGGGCAGGCTAATGGAGAGGATTATAGAAAAGACTGCAGAAGGACGAAGTGGACAGACCAGTGGATGGACTGGATGGGTAGGCAGGACAGAGAAGACTGCAGAAGGATCAGGTGGACAGACCAATGTATGGACTGGATGGACAGGCAGGACAGAGGAGACTGCAGAAGGACCAGGTGGACAGTTTAATGGATGGACAGACAGGAAAGAGGAGACTGCAGAAGGGACAGATGGACATATTGAGGCAGAGCATCTTCTCTGAGTCTGGCTACTTCATGTATGTAACACACAACCCAGGACAGCCCAGCTGTTTGACCCACAATGAAAGGACAGAGTTGAGTAAATAGAAGAATGGCTTCATATCTATAAAGATTCTTCTGTGTAAGTAACCTATTGCACATGTGAATAGGAGAGCCAGTCCACTTCTTTTCTGAAGTTGAGTCCAAGCAGAGCACGGCCTACAGGCCTCATTGCCCTTGTATGTGCTGTCCTAGGTTTGAGAGTGGGAGCGGGCAGGTGTTGCTCCTGGGCCATTAGAAGTGTGTCAGTAAGTCCAAGAATCAGCAGTTCACAGGGCACTAGCAGGGCCCAGGTGGCCTCACATTCAGATCTGACAGGAGCGACAGGAATTTTGCTCTACAGGAATCAGCCCCTCCTGCCCCACTGATCTCAGGGCAGTCTTGCTCTGAAAGATGAGCAATTCCTGGCACCAGCATATGAGCCCTTTGGACGCTTCGCATGTCCCTCTGTTCCTGAAGTGTTGTCCACAGTGATTGTCTTCACTGGGCCATGGTACAGGATGAGGGCATTTCTCTCCTTTTACTGTGAGGCCGGCTTGTGTTCTTGAGACCTGATGCTCAAGACTGGTGCAGCAGCATGAGACTAGCACAGTGCTGTCTGCCTCCCCATCTGTCCACAGATGACAAGCTGCCCTCTTGTGGTCCAGCAATAAGGACAAGCCGTGTTCCCTGCTGGCCTTACCTCTGAGATAGCCCTTATCCTGTCCTCACCAAGAGGAAGATCAAGGCATGGTTTGCTTTGGAAGCCTTCCTCCTACTAATGCCAAGGCTTCCTGTTAGAAGGGTACCTGCAGAAATGGATCATCCCCTAGGAACTATAGACAGCAGGCAGATGAGAGATAGTGGGGCAACATCCATACCCTTATTTGAGGGGCAGGTGGAACAGAGGCCAACAAGGTGATCACTGTCCACAGCACTCCACAGCAGTCCCGGGCATGTCCTTTCCCTGTCACGCTGCTATGGTCATGCTGGGGCTGGTTCCTGTATTGAAATGCAGGTTCATACAAAATGTCCTGGCTTAAAAGGACAAGTATTACTAGATGTTTTTCACCAATGCTAGAAAGATCAATTTGCTCACAATATGTTTAAATACTAATTATGTTCTTTTACAACACCAATTTGATTGTAACTTCAAGATGTCTAAAAAGAAAAATATCTCAAAACTCTCAAACTCATTAATGTCCAGTCAGAACTGACACATAGCTGATACTCCAACAGGTTTTCAGAGGTTTTAAATCACACAGAAGGCTATTGCCCATCTTTCTCTGAGGAGCATCTGGTGGATTTGAACCTTTGGGTTAACAGCACAACTCTCTACAGACTACACCACCAGAGCTCCCTTCTGAAGACTCTAAATACCAAAAAAAAGTATTTGAACAGTTTGAATGTCTGACATGTCACAATGTTAGCCATATTAATGACATACTCGCTTTAATTATTTCCATTAACATTACTAACTTAAAATTTCTTCAACAGAATTTTTTAAACTCCAACAGTTGTCCTGAAATTCAGGGCTTTTTGTACATAAAAGAGCTGGGCAAGAAGTCTTGGAAAAAGCTATATGTATGCTTGCGAAGATCAGGACTTTACTGCTCCATGAAAGGAACTTCCAAGGTAACTTGAAAAAAGATAGCAATTATCAGTGACTCCTACACCACTTTTTAGGCTGCTAGCCTTGTTTTAGAATGGAACTTTGACTGTTTGAAGCTGGCAGCAGCTTACTAATTGTATCACAGACAAACAGGGAGTTCCTTGTCTTCAGAAGAAACCTGGGATGAACAGCCTAGGAACCTCTCAGAGATGTCACTGGGATTTGCTGTAGGGCCCCTTCCTTTGATGAGGGAGAAAAGGGACCACTTGCCAGCCCCTTCACTGCAGTGCAACTTCTAGCAGCCACCATGTTGTCCCTCTGTCCATAGAGGTTTGATCACTTGCTATCGCTTCACTGTGGGTACAGCCTCCAGCAGCCACCGTGCTGTCCATAGATGTTACATGTTGCAGAGATGCAGGGCAAGTTTTAGCAGAGCTTCCAGATCTGGCTGTGGACTGAACAGCGTTCCGTTCCACTTGCATTGGGTCCATGTGCTGCAAAGGCCAGCTGGAATGCTGACAACACGTTTTCATATACATTTCCTCACTGCAGGTGTGGGCAGGGCAACCTTCTCTTCCACTGCAGAGTTTTCAGAGATATTGGCTCTATCCTCCTAAATAGACAGCTAGGATCTACACTAGACAAAAGGTGTTTGCATCTTAATGCCTGTCTTAATGTCTCTGGGGTAATTTGCCCTGTGTGTGAGCCACCTTCTCGGGGGACACAGATGTGAATGATGGATATGGCTGGTGGCCTCACAGGAGAGAAACTGGTCAGAGGACTCTCTCTCCAGGCCATCTGTGGGATCCCATCTGCAGGATCTTACCTCTGTGCACCTTCATACACCCTGCAGCGGGGCCTTGCCAGCCAAAGGAGTTCACCTTCTGAGAGCTGCTCTGTGAAGACTGGGAAGGGAAGGGGCTGAGCCAAGGTCTGTGATGTCTGCATGCTGGGGAATGTGAGCAGGAGACAGGGAACAGTGTGGACAATACCCCTCCCTAGAGGGGCAGCTCCTTAACTCTCACATCCCTGCTCTCACAGGCTGCTCACACCACACACACACTGTTCCATCAGAGGCAGTGTCCACCCCACCATGGGAAGCACAGCAGTGGAGAACCCCCTGGAAGGGAATGTGACAGGTGTCAGTAGTCAAATAAAGCTGTGGGCTCTCCTGACAGGCAGGTTGCTCACTCTGGACAGGATGATCTAACTGCCCTTTGTTTTTGTGTATCTCCTCCTGGATTTCACTTTGGAGTTTGATTAGGCAGAAGTAGCAAGTACATTCTAACCATCAAGAGGGTTTGTTGCTGCTTTCAGGCGAGTGAGACTGAGGAGGACTGTTTTTTATCTAGCCCTCATTACATTTATTGCCTGCAGTAGATCTAGAATGCAGGCTGGTGGGAACTGTGCGTTTTAACGTAACACATTGCCCTCTGCTGGCGAAAATGCTGAAAGCACCTCTCTGTGCTAAAAGTTGCTCTCTCATGCACAGGAGCCCAGGCACCTGCAGCTGCTGGCGGACCTGGAGGACAGCAGCATCTTCTCCCTGATTGCTGGGAAGAAGCAGTACAGTGCCCCTACTGACCACGGCTTCTGTATAAAGGTACTTACCATGACCACAATTGTAGAATCCACAGTGAGAACCAGAGTTGACTTGATGTTCATGTTCAACAGAAACACACTGTACACACGGCTTTTCACACTGTATCTCCACATTCACATAAAAATGTTCATGGCCCATGGTATGCAAGCCCTTGAGTGGCTACCAAACTGAAGGGAAGGAAGTACAGATGCAGACAAGGCTGGGTGATGGGTGACATTGCCTCCCAAACAGGGCTGCACCAAGAGCAAGGGAAAAAGAAGCCAGTGAGGGGAGAAGACCCAGCCCAGCCAGCTTGTTGGCGCCCCCCAGATGATCTGCTGCCCTCTCTGTGGACTGTGTTCACTGGAACATCAGACAGGGGAGGCTGCCTCACCACCACCCTCTGTGTGCATGCACCTGAGTGCACACATGCAGCACAGCACATATGTACATGAATGCACACAGCACACTTAAGTGTTTATGCACTGCATATATGCATATAACATGAACTTGTGTGTATAACATGCATATATACATGTGCAAATACACAGTGTTCTTTTTGACTAGAGAAGTAGAAATATTATTGATATTCATGATAGTCTGAAATGTTCATTGAATGACTGCTATGGATTCACACTCTGTGAAAGGTTTTATGTTCTTTACCTTATCACCTTCATAGTAAGGAGAGCCACTAAGTCAACTCCATAGCTTAGGTCAGGGAACTGGTGAGGCCATGTGCTTGTTTCTCATTCCAGGCCTGCTGACTTCTAAACTCAGGGGTTAACCCTGAACCCAGGAGAGAGGGGAGCTGCTCTGTAAGCTGTAAGCCAAGAGGAAATGCCACCCACAGTGCTTCAGACTGCCCTCTCTCAATGAGGCTGTCAGAATGGTCAGGGACACACACATACTTGCTGTGTGGACACTCGCTCTCACTAGCACCTGGTCTGCAGGCTGGTGTCCTCTATCTGGTTGTCAGAGATGTGCTCACATACTCGCTATGTAAACACTCTCACTCACCAGCTATTTGCAGGCTGATGCCAGTCACTCATAGAGGGTCATCAGTGTCTTACAGATTCTTAATTGAATTCTCATGGCTTAACGGGATCAGGGTCCACTAGCACTGTGCTTTATGTCTTTCTGCAGAAGGTTCACATGGAGATTCAGTTGACCACTCCCTCCACAGTGGTTCTCCTTCTCCTGCCTCTTCTGCTCACTTTCTGTCAGTTCCCTTGTCAGAGATGTACATCTACCTCTCCCTTTCCTTCCCTCCCCCTCTTCCTCAGGCTCCTGAATGCCCACCTTGGACAATTCTTAGCCTCTCGTGGCTCATCCTACAGTGGCTGCCCCTGCCCTACTACCTCCTCCATCTCGCTGAGCATTTGGGGAGCTTGCTTCTGTAACTTGGGGTGTGGAGGGAGTAGGGTTTCCACTTTCTCTTGACTAAGTTTAACACCCCTTCTAGTTATTCCTAAGCATCACTACTATCTTGCAGTGCTGTTTTTCTTTCTCCTCTGCAAGTCCCTGAGCACCAGCTGAGATGGTTTATTATCTAGATAATAAAGGCCACACAGCCTGTTGTTCATCCCCAAGGGTTCTGTGATAGAGGTGTGTCAAGTAAGTGAAAGAATGGACAGTTAACACAAAGGTGTGTGGGTGTAGAGGGGTGTGTGTATGTGTGAGCAAATCCATGTTCCCTCCTCAGGTAGTGTCCCTGCTGGTTTCAATTTGTGTGAGATTCAGACTCACATGAACATGAGGTACTTTTCTGGTTCCATGTGTTGCACTTACGGTGTTTTCTTGGTGCTTCCTTTTAGCCAAACAAAGTGAGGAGTGAAACTAAAGAGTTGAGGCTGCTCTGTGCAGAAGACGAGCAGAGCCGTTCCTGTTGGATGACAGCCTTCAGGCTCCTCAAGGTACCTCGTGTCTCTCTGATGTCTGGGTGCATGATAGACCATTTTCCATCTGCTCTTTCTTATATTCTGCTTATCATGTACTTAAGCACCTTTCTAGATAGGATCTTCAGAGCTGCCAGCAGAGGTTTTACTGTTAGCTGTGTTAGAATCAGGTCTCCTAGCCTCATGACATTCAGAACTAAATAATTCTTTTTCTGTCCAGGAATTGGGTACATCCTGTGCACTATAGGATCAACAGCCCTGATCTGCATGCATTAGATGCCCTTGTCACTAGCCAGCCAGCTGAGACAATCAGCGGTGCAGCGATGTCTTGCATACATCGCCAAGTATCCCATGGTGTGGAGAGAGCTCACCTCCTGTGGTAAACATTGGATCAGAGGAACAGGAATAGAAAATCGGAGTTGTGGGGATGGAAAGAAAGAGTCTCGCTTGCCAGAAAGGTGGTTTCCACAGTTGAGCATCCTCATCCTCAGATCTGCTTCTGAGGCTTTCAAAAGGCTGAAGCATAAGCCGAATCTGATGAACTGTAGCACTCCTCACAGCTCCCCAAAGGAGTCACTTCTGTGCACAGTATGTTCTGGAAGAATGATTCCCTGGAACCACCTGGGGAATAGTGCCCTGGACAGCAGTTTTGTAGCAGTTGCCAAAGTAATACTATACAGCTGTTTTACTGTAATGGCCTTGTCCCATTATACAAAAAAAAAAAAAAACTTCCAGTATAAAATAGTAATAAAAATCAGAATGCAGAATGGCATTTTCAGAGCAAGTTATATCTGTGTGGAGAAAAAGGGAAAAAGAAATACGTATTTATATTTGCTAGTGTGCATGCAAAAATTCCTTAATACTGCAAGTGGGGAAAATATAAAAAGACTGTCAAATAAAGAGATGTTGTGTGGAGAAATGGGTGTATCTATGCAATTGGAGGACAGGAGGGTGGGGAGCACCTTTAGAATGTGTGCATGCTGCATGTGAGTGAATGAGTGGATGTGAGAGGAGTGTGTGTGTGTGTGTGTGTTTGAGAGAGAGAGAGTTGTCTGACATTTTTTAATATTGCAAATGTATCCTTTGCTTTGGAAAGAAAAAAGTAAAGGGGAAAAATGAAATTCTGGTCTGACTTTTTAAACATTACGTTACAATTTTACTGTACATGATAGGCAATCTATTTAATAAGTTGTTGACTATTGTTGAACAAAAACAGCAGATGTCTCCTTTGCCACTTTAACAAAACTAGTATTAATAATTGACACAGCTGCTAACATTAATATAATGTACTAATTTTAATGTAGTATTACTGAGAGGTTTGGGTTTTTGTGAAGTTGTTTTTTAAGCATCTACTCTTATGCATCAGAGAGTTGGACAATGACTAGGGAGGGTAGAAGGAGAATTGATGCCTTTGAGCTGTGGTTCTGGAGAAGAGTATTGAATGTACCATGGGAAACGAACAGATTCATACTGGAGAGGCTTAAACCAAGCTATTACTTGGAGACAAGGATTCTGGGGCTTCCTCTGACATACTTTGGACGTGTTGTAAGGAGGGACAGCACAGGAGGGGAAGACCCTCTATGAGGTGGATTGATTCAGTGACTAAGGTATCGGGATGAGTGTGTCAGAGGCAGTGCAGTTGGCACAGGATAGAGCAGGGTTTAGGGCTATTGTACTAGGGTCGCTATGAGACGCAAGTGACTTGACGGCATATAACAACAACAGCAGCAGCACTGTGGGCCAGATAGTTCATTACTTTACACTCACTACTGTAATTAATCCTGACCGTTGTCCTAAGACATCAATACCATCATGAAGCCCATTTGACAGATGACAAAGATGAAGCCCATCTTTATCTTATTTCTTATTTCCTTTATCCTAAGGTCTGTTTGCTTAAGGACCTCCAGCCACATTTGTGTTCTTGGCCCTGGTGCCTTGCATAAATATCCTGGTTCTTGGACAGAGGCTGGAGCCCAAATGGGACTGAGCTCAGTGAGAAACGCTGGACTTGTCCTGCCTGGCTCCTCCCTAAACTCCTGAGGCCAAGTACTGCCGAGTGCTCAGACATAAGAACCTGAAGGAAGGTTATTGTGGCATGGCCTTCCTCACTTCCTTGCTGGATGCCTTGGTGATTCCAGAGTATCCCTTGTTCCTTACCAGGAATGGTTGTGGTCCCTTTAGAGGAAAGGATCTGCACCATCTTCTCTGAATGTGGACAGACTAAGTAGATGCCAGACTGCGTGCTTTTGAGGGTGGGACTTGAGAACTTGAGTGTAAGTGGGACAACTCCTTGCAGCTACAGCGTCTCTGAACCCATTTATAACCCAGACCCTTCTATAGAGAGGTGCCATCTATTTTTTTTTATTGAACACCCAAGAACTTTTTATAAAGAAATTAGTTATCATCTTTTAAGTTAAATAAACCTGTAAAAATAAATCTGTCTTGGATGAAGTGCAGTCAGTGTGCTCCTTTGAAGCAAGGATGGCGAGATTTCATCTCACATACTTTGAACATAGTGTCAGGAGGGGCCAAGTCTTAGAAAATGACATCAGTAATGGAAATGTAGATCAATCATCTGCAAAGAGAGAAAGCCCTTCAATGAGGTGGACTGACACAGTGACTGCAGTAATGAGCTTAGGCACAGCAGAGGTTGTGAGTTTTGCCCTGGATCAGGCAGGGGAAGGGTCCCTGTGCATCAGGGCTCCATGTGGAAGTCCCCAGTGACCACAGTGAGGGGCAGCATGCTGCATCTTTGAGAGCCCAGACAGGCAGGCTTTCTTTAAAAAGCAAAACAAAATAATCCATCTTATGCTCACATCTGCATTAGAGACACCTAGAATTGCTGTCTTCAACTTTATAGAAGTATGCTTTAAAAGGACAAGACCAGCTGATACTTGCTTTTCTCCCTTATTCCTTTTATTACTTGAAACCTTCCTTAGATACTATGGAGGCTGTGCAAAGTATTAAAACTTAAAATAGCTACAGTTCTCTATTATCTCTTCCCTTCCCACTTTCATCTTCTAGAAGTTTTTTAAAAAAATAAATAATAACTTGTACAGAAATTCTTCCCCAAGAGGGAGGTCTTGCTTCCTCAGTGCCAGATTCTGTAATGAATGGGTGCTCCGGTTCTAAAGGCTTGGCCACGGAAATAAAAATTCCAGTGCACGTTCAGTAAGATGACAGTCAGACAAAGCTAGAGAATCCCTGTAGAGTGCCCTTAAAGTCCAGAAGGAAATGTCACAAACCAAGCAAGGTCCTTAGCCAACAGAGGCACAGTGGCCCAGATGCAAGTAGCACAGTAGTCCAGAAGGTCCAAGAAGTTGTGCCGAGCAAATGTAAAATGTGGTAGCATTGGCTTGTGTTTCCTAGGTGCTTGCCACATGCCAAGGGCTTTGTGTGTCTCATCTCCTTTCCACCTCACGAGAGCCTCTGAATGAGCCTCTGCCCATATAACACAGAGAAGAGTCCTAATGAGGTTGAAAGTCAGGGAGACTCCACATCTCTGGGGTGGAAGCTATGTAGGAGTTGCAGCAGCACTCCTGATGGCCAAAGTGTGTTTTGAGCCCTTCTGCATCTCATGTATCCCTACTGCTTATACACACACCCATGTTCACTACCACTTCTGATAAATGTCTAGACCCTTCATTTCCAAAAGCCAGTCACCTGGTTAGTGAAGGACAGAGGTGAGGTTTCCTCTAGTCCATGGCAAAATGAAACAGATAGCATCAGTGTAGTCAGGTCTGTGTGTGGTGTATGGTGAACTTGTGGGCAGCCACCACCATCTGTCAGTGGTAACTTGTATGATGCTTCCAGACAGACTTTGAAGTTCCTCTATTAGTCACACACAAGCACACACACACAGAGCACTAACCACTAAATCCCTGTGAGTCACAGCAGTCTGTCTGCATCAGCCATAGAAAGGCTGTGAGCTGGCACCTCGGGCTGTCCCTTACAGCAGCTGTGTTCTAGTAGGAGATTTATGCTGAAATAGCCCTTATCCTGTGAAATTTGATTGATAGTGGATGGTAAATTATTGACCATTGCTTGCACATGTGTAAATTGTCTTAACTAGAAAATTAATTGGAAACATTAAGTCTGTCATGATTGCTTTTTCCAAAATGTTATTCTTAAGTAAAATTTTAAAGTTCAATGACTACTCCTTTCCTTTTATTCTATTCTCTATAAGATGATCTCTTCAATCTGTTGTTGTTAGGTGTCATCTAGTCAACTGTGACACATAGTAACCCTATGAACAATAGATCTGAAACTTGCCATGTCTTGAGCCATCCTCACAGTTTCTGATACAGTCACCATGTCTGCCCATACTGTTGAAAGTCTTGCACTCCTGTGCTTACCCTCTATCTTCCCCAGCATCTTGTCCTTTTCCAAGGATTGGTCCCTTTAACAATATGCCTAAAATACATGAAACAAGGTTTCATCATCCTTGCCCTTAAGAAACACTCTGGTTGTGCTCTCTTCAGGATAGATTTGTTTATTCTTTTGGAAGTCTGTGGGCTGCTCAGTACTCTCCTCCAACACCACAGCTCAAAGGTATTGATTCTTCGTATGTCATCTTTATTCATTGTCCAAGTCTTCATTCTAGTGGTTCCCAAATTTAACTTTTCATATGCAAATCCTTATTTATCCCCGTCTGTAGAGTAGAAAATAGTAGCACAGCCTCTCCCCACCCCAGAGCAGAAAGCAGATAAAGAATCCCATATCCCATAGCCAAGGCCCATGGTACCTCTAGAACCACACCAGTAGCAGGAGGTTTGTTTATTTGTTGTTGACTCACTGACTTTACTCAACAGTTGTAGCAAAAATGGAGTTTATTAGGGACAGAAAGTAGAGTAGGGGAGGCAAAGAATATCACAAAATGCAAATCCAGGTTTAGCCACATTAACAGAAAAACCTAATTCCTTAACTAGTAAAAGTCTTGGTTTCAGTTCAGCATTCCAAACTCAAGAAGCCTCTGGTTTCTTCAAGCAGCAAGCAAGGTTTGCCTCAGTGTAGGTAGATAGATAGATTAGATAGATAGATAGATAGATAGATAGATAGATAGATAGATAGATAGATAGATAGATCACCTTCCATTATCAGACAAGAACAGTAAAAACCTTTAACTGTGACCTTTATCTCAAGGCTCCTGTGGTTACACCACATTTTCTCCACAGCAATGCCACAGTCTCTCCACCACCATTACCACAATCTCATCACCAGGGTCTCACTTTTACCAGAGTGTCTTACTCCAGTCTCTCTCAAGTCTTGTTGCTCAGTATGGAAATTGCTTGTGCACACACATATACGTGTGTGCGCTCGCGCGCTTGCTCGCTCTTTCGCATCTCTCTCTCTCTCTCTCTCTCTCTCTCTCTCTCTCTCTGCCTAGTCCCACAGCTGTTGATGATTTACAAGACCATGTGTCAGCAATTAAGGACACCCCCTTATAGGGGGCTAAGGCAATGGCTAAAAACCCAACGTTAGACTAACACCACAATCCCTAAAAAAATATTGTATAATTCCTTAATATGTAAAACAGTTTGAATGTATAATATGGTGTTTCAGGTTACTCTTAAGTAATAAACAGTCCCCAGTCTTAGTGGCTTGAAGCAACTCAAACTTGCCCCTGCCCAAACTCAGAAACTCAAACTCACTGATTTCCAGCTGATTCTGACTTGTAGCAATTCTCCATCAGGCTTCCCAGGCTAAATCTTAATGGGAGAAGACCATCCATCTCTTCTCTCCCCCAACACCACTTGGCCTTTTGGTAAGCAGTGCTTGGCTCTCCTGATTAACTGTGAACTTGGTGACAGCTCATACTATCACCCCATTACTATCCACACTAATAGTACTTACTTGGTTTATGTGTGTCTTCTATAAAATTGTTCCTCATCAAGCTAAAGATCTTGGTCCAGTTCATTCCATATACGTGGAGCTAACCCATTTATCTACCACTAAGGAGGCTCCCTGAGCCATTCTTTGACTTGCCTCACAACACTGAAAAAGACAATAAGCAAATATATATGGCTATACATGACATCATAGTGTCACTTAAGAACATAAATATAAATTATTTCATTGGTTTACAAGATAAAGAAATGTAACTTTTAATAGAAGTGTGAGATACTAGGATTCATCAGGATTCACTGCAGAAATCAAAAGTAGAAAGCAATAGAAGCTATTAATATACAATAGCTAGATGGTGACATTCAGTCTTTGCATTATATCCTAAAACTCAATCTCATTTGGGTTATTAAAGTCTTAAGAGTGATGTTATTTATGTCATTATGTTACTTGTTAAGGTAATATAATGTGTCACTCATTCATTGTCCTTGAGTCAGAAACTACCCACAGCTGACCCTTCAGTGGATTTTCAGGGTCCATAAATCATACCAAAAGAAACCATTTGTCATTCTCCTGCCAGAGCCACTGGTGGATTTGAACCCCCAGTGAGCCACTGCGATTGGCTTAGGAGCTCAAATGTCTGTGTACTATACCAACAGAGCTTCTTATCATAATCTTTGAAAGTTATATTTCTTTAAATGATAATCTACTTTGTATAGCTACAACTAACTGTTGTCATTGTGTAGACAAAGATGTCATCTGCATGCTAAATTTAGTCTCAAGTCATTCACAGCCTAAGCTACTGCTGTGTGGCCTGAGATGTCCTCTATAGATTACAAGATAGCATAGACCATGGGTTATACCCTAGGATCCTTTCTATAGAGCACGTGATACCACAGACCATGGACTATGATCTAAGTTCCCCAATATTGACCACATGGTAACAGGCCAAGGGACATGTCTTAAGATCCCCATTGTGAAACGTGGTAGCACAAAGAGGCATGCTCTAAGATTCCCATTATAGAATATATGGTAGCACAGGTGATGGAGTGTAGTCTGAGAGTCTCACTATAGCTCATGCGGTAGCACAGACCAAGAGGCATGTGCTAGGATCCCCAACACAAATCGTGTTGTAGCACAGACCATGGAATCTGACCTAAGATCCACACTATAGATCATAATGGGAACACAGACCAGTGGATGTTGTCTGAGATCCCTACTGTAAATCACATGGGAGTACAGACCAATGTATGTGGTCTGAGATCCTCACTGTAGATCACAGGGGAGGAAAGATCATGGAACATGGCCTAAGATCTATACTGTAGATCACATGGTGGCACAGACCATGAGGTAATGGCCCAAGGCCCTCAGGCAAAACTTTCCCAGGAAGATTATTTAACTCATGGCCTTGGAGTCTTTTCAGACTCACAGTGACTTGTCTCATCAGGTTTCTGAGATTGTGTATCATTAAGGGAGTAGACTACCCACCTTTCTCCTTTTGATCCACTGGCATATTCGATCTCCTGACTTTTCAGTTAGCAGCCTGATAAAAAGAAAGTTGGCCCACTTGATAACTTCCTTTCCTCTTCTTGACTTGCTTTTATTTTCTTTCTGGGTAGTTTAAGGAAGGAAAAATATTCATAAGGCCACTATTGTGAAATAAGAGGATAACTGAGAAAGATCTATGTATATGTTCAAAAGGGAAGGATGAGAATGGGGCTAGGGAAAGGGGAGAAGATCACTGGGACAGTAGAATTTAGTGGATGGAGGGGGCACAAAGTAATGGAAAAGGTTCAATGTGGCGGAGTGAAAATAGGCATAGAACAATAGTAATTAGATATATGAAGTATAATGTTTATGAATGATTGTATAAAACACAAAGTATGTGTACAAAACACAAGGTATATGAAAAATTACAAAAGAAATAAGGTAGTGATACCATAAAAAAGTAAGGCTAAGCTCAGAGTTTAGTTGAGTTGTGAGATCACATGTACGTTTGCAGTACCTTTACTACATGACTGCTGTGTTGGTGAGAAGGAAGCTCAGTTAGGGGAGACCCACCCTAGTCTTTGGCAGCCAGGCTATGTGCTTCTACCTAAGTACTTCCCATGGTCTCAAACAGTTTGCTTCACATCTCTATGCTTTAGTTCCCATGTCCATGAAAAATGATGATATTAACGCTTCATAGCTCATACCTACCCTGAAGAGAATGAAATAATAGCATAAAACACTTAAAAGGGATCCTGAGAATGAAGGATAATGTGAAACACAATATATATGAACTTTGTATGCAAACCAATGTAAAATTTAAAAAAAAAAAGATGTCAAGCTTCTTGCCTTCCTCATCCTCATCCACAATGTTCCCAAATCAGTGAGTTCCTCTCTTTGGTACTCAAGTGGGACTGAGAGGACAGTGTGCCGTGTTTATATCTGTCCTTTAGTGCACAGAGACTGAGAACTGGGTCTGGCTGTGCTTAGCCTGGCCACTTGGTCATGGTCATGGTGTGAGCATTGTTGGAAAATCTGGGGCTCCCCGGCTCTAATGACTGACTCAGCCTTTACCCTGCAGTATGGAATGCTCCTGTACCAGAATTACCGGATCCCTCAGCAGAGGAAAGCCTCAGTCTCTCCCTTCTCAGCTCCTGTGGTAAGTTGGGCAGAACCTGCCCGGGGTTCATATCCCTGTCAGCTGCCTTAGCAGGTGTTTTCAATGCTTGGTCTAGGAGAGGTGTTCTCAAGTCAGTACGTGCATTTCAGGACAACCATGTGGTGTCCCACAGCGTTCTACCACCTAGAAGGCATGTTTTGTCCTTTCCTAGGGTTGCTGCTGGTGGCCAGTACCTCTGCAGCTCCTCTGCCTGTCCCTGTGCTCCCCCTCAGGGATGCTTATACAGCTGACTCTATTCAAGGACACAGACCTGGGAACAGTGACTTGCAGCTCTGCTGAGACACTGACCTTGCCTCTGACTTTCCCCCTTTACCTCCTGAGTCAATGAGTGCTGCTATTAAGCTGTCCTTTGGTGAGAATCCAGAGACCCATGAGACATGGCATCCTCATATTTCTCCTTGCTTTCCAAAGATGTAGCTCCTCCCCCAAAATATGATTGGTGTCAGTTCCTGTAGAATGTCAAATTAGGCCCCAGAGAGTCTCGGTTTTCTCCTAACAAATGAACCTCAAGGCACACTGGCATCACACCTACATCTCTGCTTCTCTTATGGGTTGGTACAAAATAACACCTGAGAAAGGTCATGCAGATAATCCTGCTGAGCCAGCCTTCAAGGGCCAAGAGATAGCAAGAACATTCTTATGCTATGAAGAAACATCCAAGCCATTTGTAGTTTATGGGGCCTTCCATCAGTGTACTGTCAACATGAAACTTCCAAGATTAAAGTGGGAGGAGGAATGTTGTCCTGTTTTCCTTTGCAAGCGGTCTTTACAATGGTTCCGTGCCAAGACACCTCCTGTGTGCTTCTGTGATTTGGGGGCATTTGATGCATTTTAAGAAACTGTGGCCTTCGCCTTCCAGCGCAGTGTCTCTGAGAACTCCCTTGTGGCCATGGATTTTTCTGGGCAGACAGGAAGAGTGATTGAGAATCCCGCCGAAGCCCAGAGTGCAGCCCTGGAAGAGGGCCATGCCTGGAGGGTAAGCCTTGACCGTGCCCAGCTAGACAGGCTCGATTGTGGTCACATCCCCATTGTGTTGGTCTTTTCTAGGGGTATGGACAAGTAAGCGGGGGCTGAGGGGGTTTGGCTCTCTAGGGCATGTAAATTCTTACTGGCAAGAGACAGTGGGGGCCTAGTCTCCTCCAGGTGCCCAGCCACCAGGTGTGCCCACCATGTGCTGTGCCCTGACCTGTCTATCAGGGGCAGAGGACAGACCCTCTGCTGATAGTAGGCAGAGTTCAGCCAAGCTGAGCAACCTGAGAAAGTCCCTCACCCTTGAGGCTCAGACCTTCATCTCCAGGTGAGAAGATGTAGTGAAGACTGACATTTCCCGAGACCTGAAGATACTGTTTAAAGCATGAACCCAGTGCTGGCTGGGAAAGCAATTCTCCAGTACACAAGAAAGGATCCTGAAGATAAGGGGACCATCAACCAGGGTTTCAAGGAACTGCTTGAATTTAGCCATTTGCTGATAACCAAAGAGTTATCACTTTCATAGCATTTTCTTGTGTCTGTGTTACACAGAGAAGTCTTCACTGAAGACTCGCAATACTGGATAGGGGTTTTTTTGTTTTGTTTTGAAAAGCTGTGGCCCGTAGGCTCTTTGCTCTCAGTGGTCAGATAAGGGCTCCAGGTGACTGTCCTGCATGATTCATGGTCGGTGTTCCTCGCCTGAGGTGTTGCCTACTCTAGCAGTGCCCGCTTTCCCTGCCGCTGGCCATGTTGGTGGCTTGTCAGTTGTGCTGATGTGTTGTCGTTAGTGCTAACACGGGGATTTCTTTTGCAGAAGCGGAGCACGCGGATGACTATCCTGGGTAGCCAAAGTCCCCTACACCCTTCTAACCTAAGTACAGGTAATCACAGAACCAACAGCCTCATCTCTTTATACTTAAAGAAATGAAAACAGACCCTGCCCCGTCCCAAACAGCACTTAAAGAGTGTGCACCAGAAAAGGTGTCCACAGGGGAATCACTGGGCTCGACTTTGGGGAAAGTTAGTTGTGCTTTGAAGAAGACAATCTTGAGGCTTCGAGATCCTGACTCCTCATGTCTTCCACCCACAGTGATCCACAGGACGCAGCACTGGTTTCACGGCAGGATCTCCCGGGAGGAGTCACACCGGATCATCCGGCAGCAAGGACTGGTAGATGGGTAAGAGCTGCTCTCTCAGGGGCATCCTCATGTCCAACATGAATTTTTTTCACTTTGGGTGCACTTTGGTATAGAGGAAGTTGTCTGTTCTCATTTAAAAGGAGAGTAGGTCGAGTTGTGAGCCAAGACTACACTGCTGGTCAAATGTGAGGGGAGGGTCCAATATAGATCCAATTCCAATCCATTTCTATCCATAGTTTATCTGTAGTCATCCTTTCTTTATTGAAATCCAACAAACCTGAGCTAGTCGTTGTCATCTAATAAGGAAAATGTCATTTCTTAACCCACACTTTTTAATTTATGCATTATAATCTAGTAGGTTTTGCCAAGTACAAACCACTTCTAGCTGCAGTGGATTAAAACAGTGAAGATACATGCTTTCTCACAGCTTTTGAAATTGGCCAGGTTGCTCATCTAATCAAATCAGTTGACCTGGAGTTACCTGATGAGAATAGTGAGGCTGTCACAGGGTAACTGACCATAATAGTGAAGCTGTCATATGGTTCCTAATGAGGATGGAAATGCTGTCAGAGGGCTCCTGGTGAAGATGATGAGACAGTCACAGTGTTCCTGATGAGGATGGTGAAGCAGTCACAGGGTTCCCGACAATGATGAAACAGACACAGGGTTCCTGATAAGGATGGTGAAGTTGTCACAGGGATCCTGACAAGGATGGTGAAGCAGTCTCAGAGTTCTTGACAAGAATGATGAAGCAGTTATCGGGTTCCTGATGAGGATGGTGAAATAGTCACAGGGATCCTAACAAATCCTAACGAGGAGGGTGAGGCAGTCACAGGGTTCTGACGAGGGCTCCTGGCGAGGATGGTAAGGCAGTAACAGTGTTCTAGACCATAATGGTGAGATAGTCAAATGGTTCCTGACCATAATGATGTGGCAGTCAGTGGGTTTCTGGAGCAGTCATTGATTAAACCTCAGTGAGCTTTTCAGTTCCTCCTTTGATTGTTCTTGCTAATATCCTACTGACCAAGCCCTTTTTGGAATGACTTAATCTAAAATGTCCAGCACATAGTTACAAAGATGTGTGACTGAGGTGCTTCTCAGGCCACTCTGCTCTTACAAAGCTCGGTTGGAGACCTTGACATGCATGGTCCCACAGAAACGTGCACTTCCCAACAGAGTGAAATGCTTTGTCCCCCTCTGTCAGACCCATCCCACATAGGCTCTTAAAAGCTCGCATTTGCCTCACATGTTTAACTACTATTACAGAAATCTTCAATTACGTGACATAAAGAGAGGATGGGACAGGGTGGTGAAGTGAGTCCCATTTACTCCCTCAGCACCTAACCTACTGAATGACCGAAAGACTTGAATCTTTCAACTCCAGGCTGTGTTGTGGGAGTGTTGAGGTATGGCCAGAATCAGAGAGAGAGGAATCTCTGCTTTACCATCTGAGCATTGGCTGAGCAGCACCCCAAACAGCACTCAGAAAAGGAGTGACTCTGAGGATGCTATAGTCTAGACATTTTTAAGTGGTGAAAATTGAGAGAGGGAGTTTTCCGTCTACGTAATTGGTGGGGAAAAGCAAAAAGACACCCGGGCCCGGGGAGAGTGTGCTGTTGTGACCTCACTGAAAACCCATGATGTATGGACACCAGGGCCAGTAGGACTGCACAGGGAGCATAGGAAGAATAAAATGGAAATAAAAATGGAAAATGAACTAGTAGAAATTGGGAAAATAATGAATGAACAAAATTAGAGACTCAACAAGGAGGTGAAGAACATGTCTCCTTCTGCAAAAAGTAAAAAAGACAACTACTTGACTAAATTCCTTTAGGACCTAAATTAGAAAGAGAAAGAGAAACACTCAACAATTGAATGGAACAAAAGAAGATAAAATAAATGAAATGTTGTTGTTGTTATGTGCCGTCGAGTCGTTTGCGACTCATAGCGACCCTATGTACAACAGCCCTAAACCGTGCTCTATCCTGTGCCAATCTCATTGCCTCTGACACACCCATCCCGACTACCCCAGTCACTGAATCAATCCACCACATAGAGGGTCTTCCCCTCCTGCGCTGTCCCTCTACTCTACCCAGCATGATGTCCCTCTCTAAAGACCTGTCACTCCTTACAACATGTCCAAAGTATGTCAGGCGAAGCCCCAGAATCCTTGCCTCCAAGGAGCAGCCTGGTTTAATCCTCTCTAGGGTGAATCTGTTTGTTTTATTGGCAGTCCATGGTATATTCAATACTCTTCTCCAGCACCACAGCTCAAAGGCGTCATTTCTCCTTCTATCCTCCTTAGTCATTGTCCAACTCTCTGATGCATAACAAGTGATTGCAAAAACCATGGCCTGTATCAGGCAGACCTTAGTCTCCAGAGAGACACTGTTGCTCTTGAGTATTTTGGAGAGGTCCCTAACCGCAGACTTTCCCATCGCAATATGTTTTTTTATTTCCTGGCTACTGGTGCCAAGAGTGTTGACCGTGGAGCCGAGCAAACTGAAGCTGTGAACAATTTCAATCTCTTCGCCATCCATCCTGATGCTACCGATTGGTCCAGTGGTGAGAATTTTTGTCTTCTTGACATTGAGCCTCAGTCCATACTACCCAGCTTGCCAAGTCTTATTAGTAATGCAAAAATAACAAAGAAAAATAAACAAACTTGAGAAATAAGAAATTCAGTTAAGAGATCTAACATTAGAATTATTGAAATCCCAGAACACCATGACAACATTAAAGGTATTTTTCTTTCATTGCTTTTCAGTCAGAACAATTTTCTAACTGATCCTCAGTTGGGTTCCCAAGGTTGTAAATCACTGGGGAGGAGATTACCCATCTCTTTCCTGTGGGGCTGCTGGTGGATTCATACTACTAGAGAAATGCAGTCTTTGAATTAGAAACACAATTCCACACAGACTAAAAGCATAGAAATGATTTTTCAAGAGATAATCAGAGGAAATTTCCCAGACCAGAACAGACGGCCAAGCCTCCAGATCCAGGAAGCTACATAAACCCCAATCAAAAGAGACACAGAAAATGATGGCCTTCATACCATTTTTATTAAGAAGACAAGGAAAGAGTTTTGAAAGATTCCCTTGTCCAAACACAAGGAAACATTTCTGAAAGCAGCAAGAGAAAAAACACAATATAACTCAAAAAAAGATTTTGCTAACAATCCATGTGGCTCCCTCCCCAGAAACTTCAAGGGTCAAAATATAATACCGCAGTATAGAAAGTACTGAACTAATGAAGTTGCCAATCAAGCCTTCTTTACCCAGCAAAGTTTGTAATTCACAAGCAAGGAGGAAATGAAGTAATTGCCAAACAAACAGAATCTCTGAGCATTGACCACTGCAAGACCAGTGTCAAAGAAGAACTCCAAATGGGAAGGCAATAGCAGTAAGTAGTTGTATCTATGTACAAGGGAATGATGGGTGGATAGGGAAGTAGGTCAGGAGGTAAGTAGATAGATAGCTAGGTAAAGACCTCAAAAGAAGAAGAAAAAGAAAACCACATTACAGACAATCATAAGGACCAAATATATCATACATTCAGGAAATAAACTCAGTAATTAAGTCTTGCAGACAATATATTGTCAAGCCTGTAAGAAACACACACAAAATAAACTTGTCGAATGTATGATATATATTTATTTTAATTGGGACACAAACTGAAATGAGGAGGAAGGACCATATGAGGAATGTAAAAATAATTTGTTAAAGTTATTCCTAAGTTAAACATCATTATAGTGGTGAGTTGTATACGGGAATATATCTATAGTAACTAGTCAACTGTGCAAGCCATAACAAATTATAAAATACCATTGCAAAGAATGAGAATTTCTGATTACTTAATTGTGCCCATGTGGAGCTTGTGCATAAATACAGTTCAGTGGGATCGTGAATGGTTTAAAATCAAGAAAGGTATGCATCAGAAATGATGGGGGGTTGTTACCATATTTATTTGTTGCATGATACTAGGCAGATAATCAGAAATTCCAGACTCTGTAAGAAGAATATGGCCTCAATATTAGAGAAAGGCTTATTTTAAAAATCTATTATATGAATATGATAGAGCCTTGCTTGCTGAAAGTAAGAAAAAAGAACATGAAGCAGTTGATAATAAGTATCACTATGGATACTTACCCCTCAACATAAAACAAAAATCCTTAAAATTGTGTCAGCATCAGTATAAATTAAGAAAAGATTGAAATTGTCAGGGGTTTTATTTCAATTGAAGCCTCAATCAATACCATGGAAGTAGCATGCAAGAAATTAAACCACCTAAATAATTGATACCTTTGAGCACTGAATATCCCATTAATGGCCAAGAAAACAAACAGATATGTCTTGGAGAGGAGAGGGTGCAGCTGGAGAGCTCTTTGGAGGCAAGAATGATGAGACTGCCTTACATACTTTGGACATGTTGCTAAGAGATCTGCCTCACATATTTTGGACATGTTGCTAGAAGGGGCTATTCCTTGGAGAAGGACATGATGCTAGGAAGGGTAGAGGGTTAGCAAAGGAGAGGAAGACCCTCAGGCAGGTGGATTAATGTAGTGACTGCTGCATTGAACTTTTGTGTGTCAGGAAGTGTGAGGATGGCACAGGATAGAACAAGGTTCAGATTTTTGTTCATAGGGTCACAATGACTCATACTTGACCCGATGGCACCCAACAACAACAACAATAACAATTATGTTAGTGGTAAGGAGTTTCCCTGCCAACCTAAAGCATGCTGTTTGAATCCACCAGCTCCTCCACAGGGAGAGATGGGAACTTTCCTCTCGTGTGATTTACTGCCTCTGAAAACCCACTGGATGATTAGCTATGAGTCAGTTCCAGCTTAAAACCACATAACATACAACACACACCTTGTGTCGAGCCAAACTGCTAGAAAAGGCTTCTTTAAAGATGTCACTTTGAGGACTCATGTGTATCTGACACCAACCCATGTTTTTTCAAATGATTTTCAATCATTTCATATGCACATGAAAACTGAACAATGAATAAAGAAGACCAGTGATGATTTGCTAC